AATTACCTCAAGCATCACAATTTTGACCTCAAATAGCACACATTTATCCATGTGTAAACATTAAGTAGCAAAACTGATGACACACCAATCAGAATGTCAGGATAATATAAATAGGAGCACAGGTGATTATGTGCTTTGGAAAATGAAGAAAAAGATGAGAGGAACAGGAAGGGAAAAGAAAAATGAAGGCGTGAAAGGACATTTTGTTCCTGATAAAGTACAAAGACTATAGTAGTCCATGTTCTTGTGCATGGAATGACCATAAGGGAAGTTGGCCTATAGGGTCATCATGTTTTTTATACTAGTTACACATACAGTATAATTACAGTACATACTGGCATTACTTTAGATGAGAGAACTTTCACAACTCTGTACTGTAGCACATGTTGTACACCCTCAAACTCTTAACTGTCAGGGGCGGCGTTTCCGTATGGCAGTTGCCATACCCTGGTGGTTCGTTGCCATACCCAAGGTGATCGCCTGCCAATTCTGACCCCTGCCAGATTATTACCCCCCCTAGTATTGGTAGGTTTAGGGTTTGGTGCGGGGGAGGGGTTAGGATTAGGCAATCAGATAGCGATTTCAACGAGAGGGGTAATAATTTGGCAGGGGGTCGAAAATGGGCACAACACCAGAAGCGCATATACTTACTTGCCGGCAACCCGCCAAAATAAAAGACTGCTGATTTTACTTTTGAAAATTATGAAAATTCATCTTTAAAAAAAAAAAAAGAAGTAAATATTAGCATTTTATTTTTAAGTTTACTATAAAATAGTTGTATTTGTATTTAATACTCCCTTTTTTATTATAATAGTATTATCACACTTTATTATTTTATTTAAAAAAAAACACTAAATAAATAAAGTGCAACAATATTATCACTACGATTAATTTATTTTTTAGAGTTGTATTTCAAGGGTTACACTATGGGCAGTGTGAGGACCAAACCAAATCTCCAGGTTCTCTTATGAGAACCAGGCTGAAAAATGAATGTGCACCCCTGAGTATAATGTATTATGTGTTCATATTCAATTCTTTGGTATTTAAACTTTTCTTTTTTAGTGCTTTTCATCTACTGCAACATCATTACAGTAATGTAATGAAAGTAAACTTTTCTTAAAGCTTATTGTTGAATTTCACTATATCTGCACCCCTCTATTTATGTTGTATACTGTAATAGACATTGACTTGCAAAATGATTCCTGATTCCCAAAAGGAGGTTTTTGTGTTTTGAAGTGATCTCACTACTGTTCTCCAGGCAGGAAAGTCGTCTGTGTATTTGTCAGTGTTTGTGTGTCATCTGAGGCCAAAGTTTGATTCTGATAAAAGAGGATATGTTTTTGACTAAAATATTTGACTTTGACTGAGAAATTAGAAGTTTGTACAAGTTGGTGTGTAGTTTTGAGATTGTGTTTATAGTTGTGAATAAATTGGTGAATTGTTTCATCAATTGTGTGTTAGCAGTCAAGAAAACTGTAGAGCATTTTAGGCCTTAAATTGTGGAAGGGAAGACCCTTTTTCAGAAGCCCTGTTCTATTAAATATGACTCTCACACTGCTCTTCTCATCTCAGTTCATAATGGCGGTTCTTGTTCTGTCGGCTATCCTTCCTCCGGGATCGCGTCACATCCGCTGGCTGGTGTCGGCTGGACTGGCGCAGGTCAGTGAGTTCTCCTTCGTCCTGGGCAGTCGTGCACGTCGGGCCGGCATCATCTCTAGAGAGGTCAGTGATCTCACTTCATTTCCGTGCAAGTCTGGTGTCTGATTCTCTCTCATTGCTCCTAGAGTGTTAAAACGGTGGCTTTATTCAGACAGGCAGTGAAAAATACTAATATATCCAATCTATATAGTATTTTTATTTATTGATTTAATTCTTTTTAAAGTGAATTATGTGACATTTGCTGAACAGTGTAGGAGATAACTAGTGGTTTCAGACACATATGAATGTGTTGATGCAGTGATTGGTAACTAAAACTAAATAGTTTTCATTAACTGAAATAAAATATAAATATTAGATGAAAAACCTAAGCTTAAAAAGTGGAAATTGGAAATCTTGCCTGGGTTAGCTAACTGAAATTAAAGTATAAGTTGATGTACTAAAATGACTAAAACTAAAACTGAAATGCAAATAAATTAAAGCTAAATGGAAATATACTAATATAAAAGATAAAAGCACATTAAATTACTAAAATTTTAACAGAAATTAAAATAAAAATTACAAAAATATAAAAATAAAAGCTACATTTTTTAATTAGTAATGCACAAAAATTTTGACAACCGAAAGTTTTTGGCTGAAACCGTTTTAAATAAGTGTTTCTCCGATGGAATGTTTTGACAGTCAGTGTCTAATTCAGGAACAAAATGTGGATAAACTATGCAGAGAGATGCCAATAGACATGACATCACATTTACCTCAGGAAAACCATTCAATGTCCATAAACACGTTAGTCAGATAAAAAGCTCTATAAAGGAGCATTTTGATAAATATATACACTTTATAGATATTACAGATTCATAATATTTTTACTTTAGCTGTTGTCTTCATTATTTAATGTATGTTTGAATAAATCTGTCATGAAAAGTTATTTTTACAGTTTCCCTTTGAATGTTAATATTTCAACAACATATTTGAGTAGAAACATAATTCTGTTATTTAAAGATGATATAAAAACAGCCTTGTGTGCAATTTAAATATTTGTACAACTCCGTTTATGAGTGTTGATTATCAAACACATTTAATTAATTAATTGATTATTATATCAAATGTATTTTTGGTTTTCAGCCAAGTGCATCCTCATTTTCCATTTTGCTTTTGGTTGCTCACAGGTGTATCTGTTGGTTCTCAGCGTCACCACGTTAAGTCTCCTCCTTGCTCCGGTGTTATGGAGAGCCGCTACGCTCAAATGCATCCCGCGGGCTGAGAGGAAACCACTCACCTGAACCAACGCCACATGCGGATGAGCTGTGTTAGAATGACGCATCTCACATTAATGCATCATATTGATGACAAACAGATTGTAAGAAACAGAAGGGCAGAGCATTAATATATGAAATATTTACACGGTAGTGAAAGAAAAGGACACAGCTTGCAAAAAAAAAAGACTCCAGCTTCTATAACGTCATCATGTGTATTAATGTTATAGAAGACCAAATGTTATTTATTTGTGTAACATGTGCCTTGAAAGGAGCAGATGTCAGCAGACAAGCCAAATAATGCACCTGTTATGAAGATGAGAAGCTTTTGCACTGCAGATTTTGGTACATGCAGATGTGTGAGTTTACTGAAGATGATTCACAGCACAAGAACTAAAGCTTGACTGTATTCATTCATGATTCCTGCTGAAGTTGAATTCTAAGCACAAGGTGGCAGTTCTTCATTGGGATGATAGGTTAAATTAATCATAGATGTAACTGGACTATTCAGAATCATTTCTCTGGACTTTTAATTCTCAATTAGGTCAAAAAATACAATTAAAAACCTCACTCCAATCATTGAGGGTTTTCTTTATGTGTTAAATAAGTGACTACATTGAAGGATATGAGCTACATATTTGCAGGGCCAAAACTACTGTACACAATAAGGGTGACATTACGATAAAAATAAGGGTGTTTCAATTACATATTTAACAATCTTATAATCAAAGATGCAGCCAGTGTTGTATAAAGTATCCAATTGTTATACTTCAGTAAAAGTACAAGTAAATTTGATAAATAATGGCACAGCTGATTGTATCAACTGTTTTAGATAGTATATAGATATATAGTATAGGATATATAGTTAATGGGATTGTTCACAAAAATTAAAAAATTTTTGG